ACAACTAACCCAACCACAACCACAAACACCAATACGAACACAAAGAAAAAAACAAACGAAAAAGCAAACGAAAACAAACCAAATCCAAATGCAAAACCAACCACAAACCCAAAGAAAAAAACACAAACGAAAAAACAAACGAAAACAAACCAAATACAAACGCAAAACCAACCACAAACACAAATACAAACACAAACGCAAAGAAGATAAAACACAAACAAAAACGAAAAAAGAAAGAACAAAAACGAACCAAATCAAAACGCAACCACTAACGCAAACCCAACCTAAACACAAAGAAAACACTAACGCGAACATAAACGCACAGTGCTCAGAGTCTAGCCCGGGGCGGAATCGCCTGTTTCAGCTTAATAAACGACTATAGTACCCCAACTTATTCATAGTCTTTTGCACTCACTTTAATGAACGTAGGCGCGAAACCGAACACGGGAGGCCCGGGACCCCAAATAGCACCCTGTCTGGGCGCCAGAGGACGCACCATGACGTCACCGCCTGATTGAACTTAGTAAACGACAATAGTACATAACTTATTCATAGTCTTTTGAACTCACGCGAACGTATATACCATAGCGTACACCGGAAGGCCCGGGGCGCCAAATAGCACCCTGTCGGGGTGCCGGAGGACGCCCGGATTTGATTCACTTAAAGACTATAGTAACCTTTCTTATCCATAGTCTATCGCACTGTTAAAAACAAAATTATGCAGCATAGCGCTCACATGATAGCCCAGGGTGCCAAATCGAACCGTGCAAGGGCGCCGGCGGACGCGCCTGTTTCAATTTAGTGAACAAAAATGATAATACTCCAAGCTTATCCGTAAATGGAAAGAAATAAACATATAGGGTTTGTAGGACCTGGCTTATTAAATGTTTTTGATTTAAAAAATAAAAATATTGAACAGTATGTTCAGTGTATAGAATAAATAAAAGGCAGTGTTAAAAATACCTAACGACATTGCACTTAATCAATCCCCGCTTATTATGTAATTATTTTTTTTTTCTTAACACCAAAAACAAATTAATAAAATGTAAATTCTTTCTTCTTAAGAATTTTTTTTATTAAAGGGAAGTAACTGTGCAGTCAATACATTTCGACACAATTTTAGAAATTTTATAAACGTCAATACATTTTTTAAAAATTTTATGTCGTGTTCATAATTGAAAATTATTCTTCTAAGTAAATAGGATGAAAATTGTTTTTAAAGACTTTCAATGGTAATTTTTTGACTCGTAAATTTAGACTATGAGCACGATAAAAAATCTAACACTTAAATCCGTAGAAGTGTCAACGACAAACTTTTTTGTTTTTTGCCACACGTTACAGAACTGAGCTTTATATATTAGATAGAGTAACATGACTAAAAACCATTGCGCGCCCAGCTACCGAACGTGACGTCGCAGCCATTGAACGTGATGGCGCAGCTATTGAACGTGATGACGCGTGTGGTGTGGTTGCATAAAATGCCTACTAATTCAGTCCAAATTTTAATTAATTCAAAAAAATTTTTGTGACCGAACGAAAGGATATTTTTGAAAACTTTCTTCGGCAATATTGTTCTAAATTATGGCAGGAATCGATTGGTACATGTTTCAAGTCGCTAAGTGGTCTGGTTGCCGAGATATGGGCCAATAACTGCATTTTTTCGAGGTTTTTTGGCTTTTCCGGGAAATCCATGAAAGAAACCCGGAATTTTTATAGCCTATGTTCATCCTCGTAACTTGCTTAACATAATTGCTTTTGGAACAATTCCTCGATATTGCTTCGCTGAGGAGGAGATACGACTTAAAGCTGCGGACACACATCCATCCATCCATCCATCCATTCCCAGAAAAGACGAGTTAATAAACGCAATTCTCCAGAATGGAAATTGCGCTAAAAACGTTACAAGTAAATTACAAAACCAAAATGTAATGTTTCGTGCCTTCTTCCTCGCAAAAAGTTTCTACAAATTCCTCCAATTCCAGTGTCGAAGTTTAATCACATTCTACTGAAATTGTTGCTCAGTCCACAAGTCTAGTTTGCGACACAATTGACTGCAAATAAGTTTTGATTTATTTCATATTTGAAAAACTGCGTTCTCCACTCACCATTGACACTGGAAGTGTTAATTTTATTCTCAAGGAAACATTTGGTACACAATCTTCCAATGTTGGTTAAACTACATAGGGGTCGTCCATAAATGACGTCACACTTTTGGGGGGAGGGGGGTCCGTAATTTTGTGACGGTGTGTGATGAGGGGGAGGGGGGGGGGTTAAGATGGTGCGACGTCACACTATTGCATTATAAAAAAGCAACGATAGAAAACGAATTTTAGACGTTATTTCGCGCTTTAGAAAACTGTTTTGATAAATTGTAATAGGAATTGATTAAAAATACTCTATTTTGACAGAGTTCAGACAAGATTTTGGAAGAATATCGATGTTTTAAAAAAAAATTCAACTGCAGTTTTGAGGGGGGTTGTAAGCTGAGGGTGACGTCATTTTAGCGGGGGGGGGGGTCTGGTTTTTTGGTGACGATGTGTGACGGAGGGAAGGGGGGGGGAGGTAAAAACCGTCAAAAAAAGCGTGACGTCATTTATGGATGACCCCATAGGGAAGTACATCTGATGGAAGCCGGGTCTAGGACTTTACCCATCCCACCCCACCCACCCCCCACCCCGACATTACCCCCTGTCATTACCCAAGCCCACCCTGAAGAACCCAGACCCTAACACTAACCTCAAACCTATAGCTAAACCTAGCCCCAACATCAACCCTAACACCAACCTACATCAAACATTAAACCTGACTCAAGCTCTAACCAAAGGTGGCGCCCAACGTGGTCAATCAAAATATAAAAAGCTTATTACTGAATTAAATTTTTATATACAGTCGACATAAACAATATAGACTTCTACTTGGCTTAAGGACTTGTTTGTTGTCTACATCAATTGTGTGACGCCAAAATAAAAAAGTGACTGGTAAAAAGCGCCCCGACGTTTCCAAATAATCGGGTTGTGGGGCGCTTTACGCGAACGTGAATAACTATATAAAGGCCTAATATGGGGAGAGGGCGCAACATTGATAGTTCACCATGGGCGTCGAAATTGATCACTACGCCTTTTATATTACCATGTCTATAGTTTATATTAATAGAATCAAAGTTATTAATAGGTATTGTTATAACGGCGATTTCACATTTTTACACCCCCCCCCCTATATGGATAGCGCCCAAGGTGACCGCCTTCTTCGCCTCTTGGGAGAGCCGGCCCTGGGCGTGAGGTTGAGTTTAAATGTTTCCAAAGCTTGGATGATCCGACGCAGTAGCGTAGCTAGGGGGGGGGGACATATGTCCCCGGGCGCCGACCTTAGGGAGTGCCAAAATGGGTTGGAAAAATAAAAATGAAAGCTTGAGGGGGGTGCACATCGAAAGTTTGAGGGGGGGGGGTGCAAATCGAAAGTTTGAGGGGGGTGCAAATCGAAAGTGTGTCCCCGGGCGCCGGGAAGGGTCGCTACGCCTCTGATCCCACGTAAAAAAAAAATTCCCCACGTTTTAAGTAAAAAAACTAATTCGCCAAACACACAGGTAGGCCCTACTTCTCGACAAATGAATGAGTCTGAATTCTATTCACTACTAGTTGTACAGGGCATAAATTGGGAATTCCCCAACTGGTGTAATGGTTAAATAAAGGGGAATAATACGATTGCTTCCAGGTAAAATTAGCTTCCCCTTAGTTTTATAAAGTTTAAATTGTACATTTCTTTCGTTTTCTAAATAAATATGAATTTTTTAGAACTGTGATAGCAATCGTATCTCGCTTAGATTAAGTAAATATTTAGATATAATACAAGCTACTATTAGTAGAACAATTGCCTACACAAGCAGATGTTGTGGGTCTATGTATGTACTAGAATAATGAATATCAACTAGTCAACACTGACCATAGCAACACATAACCTCTAACTCAATCTTCCACTGTTAAACCTTGTCCAATCGACACAAAGAAAACAGACTCGATTGTCATAAAAATTGTGTATAAAAATAATTTGTACTTTATTCAATTTAACAATCATTTTATAATCCTGACAATGCGTCTAGTCACACTAGCACAAAGTTAATTTGCATTAATTGTTAAAAGGTGCTTGCCCAGTTAACACAGATCCACACACAAACCACTTTCTGTGCTAACAAAATGTATTAAAACTACTAAAATATGCTTTAATGAATAATTTATTTTAAATAGTATTTGTTCTAAACTAAATATTTGGGTTTTTTTTGGTAAAAATGAAAAATGCAATCACATCAAATACAGTGACACAGCAAGTGTGACTTCAAATATTTTTTCTACTTAAGCAGAACTATTATTTTATGTAGGTTACTACTGTCCTAATATTAAACAAGTTCCAACAAAACCATTAACCCTCTGATGTCCATCAAATAATGTTATGGTGCAGGCTACACAGAAAAGTTGAATAAAAATGTAGTCACTACTATGATTTCTCTAACATTTGTCTAAGTTTTCAATACTGGTAAATAAAAACAATCTAAATAAACCGGGAGTGATCTCCCCTAAACTTTCTCGAATATTCTTATATAAAACAACAGGGGATGGGAACTCGGGCTATTGACATGATTTTTAATCCATTTTAAATACTTAAAGTTTTAAAAATAGAATAAAATCTCGTAGACAAAATAATTGCACACCAAGTGAACTAGTGAACGCCAAATAAAAAAGTGCACAATAGCGCGCAATATTATTAGTACTTTAAAAATTTACATTAGTTTTTTGAGAAATCGGAAGTAGCGTAAATTACTACTTCCGGTCAACGGAAATTACTCAAAATTTAACAGAAGGTAGAGAATTAGATCTTTTACTTACATGTGAAATTTCATTTATCTATCTGAAATAGTACTCAAGTTATAGGCTTTTGAAAAATTCAAAGTAGGAAAAGTACCACTTCCGGTTATCGGAAATCGCTCAAAGGTTGATACGGATCTACGATTTTGATAAAATACTTATATATGAAATTTCATCAACCTAGCTATAACGGTACTCAAGTAATCGTGTTTACACACGGACACACACACACACAGACACACAGACATACGGACAGAATTGCAAAGCCCAGTTTTTCAGACTGGATTACGCATAAAACCTCTTAATTTTGATAAATCTGGATTGATAATTTTTGCCCGATTAAAATAAGTCCTCTATACTTCGGATGTGATGAAGGACTGAGGTGTAATACGGTGAAAATTGTTAAAATTTCAAGTGATTTTTGTGCACGATTACAATACTTTCTCTATACTTCGTATATACGAGAAAGTAATAAAAACAATTGAGCTGTGTAAACAAATATGAATCTTTCCAGTAAACATCTAAAATAGGAATGTAAGTATATATAACAAAACAATCTTGTTAACAAAATTTAAGATGGTGGTTGTATTAAAAAATTTAGTGATTGTACAGTTTGAACTAAGCTTGATATCACAATTAAGCCTGTACACTATCATTATTGTAAGGAAATAAACTTTCTTTAGCAAACAGCTCCAGTAGATAAAAGTTTTCAACAAATGGTTTTAATTCTTAATATATTAATTTTACACAAATTACATTAAAAAATAAACTTTGACAAAATAACTTTAATTTTAAATCACTTTACATAACAAAAAAGAATAACTAAAAAGAGATCAGTGCTAAGAATTTCATTGAGTTGAGAATATGTGTGCAAAGTACAATACAATATAAATTAACTGGAATGTGTTCAATGCTGGTCTAGTTATTGGTGCATCCAAAAATGTAAATAATTCTATCTTTAATACTACATTATGAGGAAGATTGTTTTAACAATACTAATATCATTGTCTGACGTAAACATTAAGTTAACTAAAATAATAAATTAAACTATTTCAATAAACATTTCATGTGGTAAAAAGTGCATTGGATGGTTGAGGTGTAAATAGCTGGTGTTTTTATAAAGGTGTATTTTGTAACACAAACAGCTAACAATAGTTTACATTCATAGTAAAAAAAGTAATCGTATCATTTGAGCAAAAAATAAAAACTGGTTTTTATAATCAACTGCTACAATCACCAAATTATCTTTACTTCAATAGATTCAATAAAATAAATCAAATTCACAAATGCAGTAAAGTGGACTTTTTACTTCTATACTCAGATACACAGTGCCATTTGTAGGAGCAAAAAATAAAAACTGGTTTTTATAATCAACTGCTACAATCACCAAATTATCTTTACTTCAATAGATTCAATAAAATAAATCAAATTCACAAATGCAGTAAAGTGGACTTTTTACTTCTATACTCAGATACACAGTGCCATTTGTAGGAGCAAAAAATAAAAACTGGTTTTTATAATCAACTGCTACAATCACCAAATTATCTTTACTTCAATAGATTCAATAAAATAAATCAAATTCACAAATGCAGTAAAGTGGACTTTTTACTTCTATACTCAGATACACAGTGCCATTTGTAGGATGAGTGATGACACACACATCATGTAAACATTGTCACCTCTAAGAACTGAAATATGAAAAAAGTATGTAATACAGTACACAATCTGGAAATCAACTTTTATCCATGTCATATCAGTATTAAAACATAGTACAACTGTGATCAGTTATTGGGTGCTAATCTGTTGGAACTAGAGAAGTCACATGGTGTCTGCCCTTACCTCACAACGTACAGGTTTAAAAATCTTACCTCATTACGTAAAAATTCTACTGAATCTCCTTTGACATTTTTCTTGCGCTGTTGTTCATGGAAAGATGCTAAAAAATTGTCAATAAAAAATGTCAGTAATTGTATGTGTGAAAACATATGGCTTAGATAATACAACAAGCTGATCAAGTTAAGTCAAACCTTCACTAGTTACTTACCAAATAATGAAGTCAGTTTACAAATGATCATGACAAAATCTGGCAATGTGATTGTGTTGTCACGTCCTCCGTATCTTCTTACAATTGATGTCAGGACTGCTCGGTTAATGGGAAAACCTGCAAGATAACAGTTTAAAAACAAAGGTGTAGTAGTGGCATTCCACCAAGCCATTACATGAAGGCCACCCCCAGCTATCTGCCCTTAAACACATGGCCAATTAGGCTCTCATGGAAATGCCAGGGCAAATCACCAATCAGTGGATTAAGATAATTACAGAAACCAGAGTTTTAAGATTAAGGTGTAGGACCACAAATGGGAATAATTGGGAATATTTCCACAAAGTTCCTGGCCATAAATGGAAATATTTTCAGCTTCACAGCTCTAAATTCTGGTCACACTGTTCTAAAAGGTGTTTGGGGGAGGGGGGGGGGGGGGCAGACAAAATGTCATGGATCTTTTGAGAGAGAAATAGTGAAGGCGAAGATGGCTAAAATAGCTGGAGATAAAGATATAAACAATAGAGTCTGTTGGTCACACCAACATGATGGGATTTACTAGGTGAGTACTGAGAACCACTGAGGTCCACATATGGTAATTGAGAACCACATAACACACACAAAGATGTTAAGTATTCATACTGTACCTAGCTTAGAAAACATGGACCCCAATTCATACGTGTCTACTGTGTTTGAATTGTCCTTATCAAACTGTTTAAAAACTTCCTAAAATAAAAATAAAAAACTGCATATTATAGCTGTTGAATGGTTAAATTAATGCTAATTTATTAGCCATACAAAAAACAAGTAACTTTAAATTATTTTTGAAAGTTAAATACTGACCCTATAAGCTTTGATTTCTTTCCATGCTCGTTTGGCTTCATTAAAGCTCAAGTATCCAGATTTATCTTCCTAATTTTTGTTAAGCAACATTATAATTGTTTCAACCTAATATAATTTTATTTGTATATTAATTGAATTAAATAGACCTACCATTATAAAATTACAATGTTATTAGTTAAATCAATAGTTTTAAAGTCAAACAACCCAAGGATACATCCATTAATGCCACAAGACTTCTACAGGATTCAAGAGGAAACTTCATTGGGTCACGCAGTTCTGAAACAAGACAAAGTAGTTTGTCAGGAAATATTTTGTATAAAACTACTTTCAATCTTGATGTTCTGAAATAAAGTCTACAATCAAGTAAATTATTAAATTTGTTTTAGTGCTTTAAGTTTTTGATTCCAACAAGAAGCTCTCACAGGTAGAATGAAAAAAAAATATCAGAATAAAAACAATGTTCTTACCAGTAGAAGAAACATCTTCTAGAAATGTGGCCAGTTCACTGGGATCCATTTTCTGATCCTCTCCTGCATGTCTCTCAAAAGCTTTCATCAGCTGGTCTTTGCTGGCGACTGGCTTGTCCTGTTATCAATTATAAAATCTCTTGCCATTTTTCTTCTTGTAAGCCAAAATTTATATTGCTAATTTAATGGGAACTGCGAAAGTATAATTTTAGTTACTGTTTTTAAAATTGCAAACTGATAAAAATTTAAAATAAGATTTTAAACAAAAAGTAAAATTTATTTTAAATTTATTTACTTAGAATTTTTTAAAATTTATAAACATATCAAAATTTTATGTTATGTTTTTATGTTTTCATGTTTGTGTTACTAAAATTGATAAATTGATGAAAAGTTCTTATGCTGGTCTATGCTATATGAATTTCACATACAGTAAAAGGGACAGACCACATCCAAAGCAACAGAAGGATTTTAAAAATATAAACATCTAAATAAACAAAGTGTGTACCTAAAATATGAATACTAAGTAAACTTAGGAAAAAGTACAATTAGATCTACTACCTGCTTAAAGGTATTAAATTCAATAATAAAAAAAAAAATAGTATGTAAAAATATTGATTAAAAGATTATTTGAGATGGGGAGGGGGGGGGTGTTGCGGGACTGGAAATTAAGTTAATGAAATTTTAAAAAGTTTTCATAATTTTTTTAAATTATATAAACTTGGTCAGCTAGCTGTAAGAATTATTTATATAAATAAATTCTGTAGCCTATATTAATTCCTTTATACTACTTTTAAATCCCTGCAATATAATTTTGTAAATTGTCTAATATTTTAATATGTGCAAGTTATTAAAAAAAAATGATTAAATTAAATAATTATTACTATACATTAGAATATACATATTTATTTAACTTTAAAATAGGTTATCTTACAAAATAAATCAATACGTAATATGTTTTTAAATTTTTTTTAAAATGCCAAATTAAGATCAAAGGTAAAATTTTATTTTACTGAATGTTTACATTGTGGTAAACAAAATGATGCTAAATTAATTTTTAAAAAACTATGTGCACTGGTATAGAATTCCCTCCATTAATTTAAAAATAAAAAGATAATTATAGAAAAACATGTAGCCTATGAAAAAAAGGAAAGAATGACAAGGTTTATCAAGCAAATTTTTCATTCATCATACTTTCAAAAAGATGTCATAAATTAGTAATTATAAAACTACAACAAGCTAGAGAAAGCATACATATTCTACATTTTTACTGTAAGCTTTATAGAACCAATTTTAGTCTATTTGAGTTATTGCTATCTGTTAATATTTCAACTATATCTAACATGCAACTATGTCATCTAATAAATTTTGTTCCTTTTTATCTAGATCAGAAGCAGGCAAAACATAGTTTTTTATTAAAAATTCTTCATGTATTTATTATAAACATCAGGAGATCTTTTAAAAACTGGAGTTGTGCCCACCTCTGAATTCATTAGCTTTTTTTTTTAAAATTAAAAATTCATAAACTTGGACATTTATTGAAATAGCTGTTACAGTTTGTTAATATATTTGTGAAAATAGTAGCGGCTAGTAATAAAAATGTTGCTATTTATTTCTGTGTTTGGTTGTCTTTCATCCAGGGTTCATATTTACATGTAAATATATCTGCCTTGAATCTAGTGTAAATGATTGCTTTCTTCTTGATCTGGAATTACCAGAAGATTCACTTCTGTATTTTCTTGACGTCCGAGAAAATGAAAAACAGGAGCAACAGCCTGATTTAGTCTCTTCTTCCATCTAGTAGGTCATGATGAAATTCAGTTAGAAAATTTGGCGTCTATTGGCATTAGTTAAATTATTGAGTAAAATTATCTAAGATACAAATATTATCTTTGATTTGTTTTCCCCAGATACTAAAAGTACCTTTTTAAATAAATCATTTAGAATTAAAGTTGTTTTTTTTTTATTTCAATGTAAACAATGAAATAAATGTCAGCTTTTACTAAGATCTCTTTTTGTTAGGATCAACAGCAGTTTTTGTCCAACTTTTTCAAGGATAGGTTAGCAGTAATTCTTATAGTAGAAAAAATATATATCTAGTAATATAAATATGGAGAGTATAGAATAAAGAGAAACAACAATAGATTAGAGACAAGATGTGGGAAAGACATCCCAATGTGTATAGTTATTCCAATATCATCAATAAATGCAGCATAGATTGTAATATGAGATAAGAATAAATCTGTTTATATCATACAATTCAGATAACTAGCTGGATTAAAATATGTGTAAATAGAATTAAACCATGCAGTACAAGAGGTAGTATACAGTTGAATTTTTTTACTTCTAAAGAAGGGAAATAATATTAGGTTAAGTGTAGCATTGTTGCACAAGTTTTACTGAATTTGCCTTTGAAGCTTCAGATAAGGAGAAGATAACTTTCTAGCCTGGCATCAATGCACAGCATAGATTTTCTCCCTTTACCCTAAAACAACAATTATCTACTTTAAAATACTTGTTGTAATGAGTAGTTTATAAATTAACCTTAAGTACATTTATTAGTTTAAAAAAACTAACTTAAATTATTTTTCTTTAAAAAAAACACTTCTTCGTGTCAATTTTTTTCACTTTATATATTCAGTATAAAATATACCCTTATGTGAATGTAAAGTTGTTGAAGTATAGAAAATATGGAAAAGACAATAAAATCTGCCCATTTAAATATATAACAAAAAAGTGATTCCCAAAATAAACTCTGTGTAAAAATGTGTTTTGAAATCACATTGTTCAGGATGTACAGTTAATTTTACTCACAGTTAATTTGAGCATCTATGGTTAAAATGTAAAAAGCAGGGGTGGGAGGTAATTTTTGCAGTTTGCTTATCAGAATGTATGCTAAAGAATCCACATTTTGACAGCATTATAAACCATGTATTTTATTTTAGGCCCTACATTTTTTTCATCAGTCTTGAAATAATTCAAGAACAGAAGAAACTAGACTGGAAAATAGATTGTTATAAAGCCTGGAGAATATTCACTATTTGGCCAGATTTAGCAAGCTTAAAAGATGGAAAACTTGATATAACAAAAAATTCAAACATACAACTAGAAAGATGAGATACTAGCTTGAACAAGAAAATTTGACTTACTGGTGGGCGTGTCACTTCATCTAGGACTCTGAAAATGTAAAATCATGTCTCTCTTACACATATATCAATCAACTTTCCTATAGGATATGTTTGAGAAATACAAAAATGCAATAAGGATGGATTGGACATACTTTGCATAAACCAACTAGCAACATCACCAGCAGACACTAGATTGGAATCCCCAAGAAAAGAGGAAAGATGGAAAAAGTCAGTTGTCAGTGAAGCAGACAGAACCGCGTTGCTCAACTTGAAGAAATTGCCCAGAACCGAGTACGATGGAGAGGTTTGGTTGCATCCCTATGCCCCACTAGGGGTCCACAGGTATGTTGATGGTGATAGGAAATGTTAAACTCTTTTTATAAAGGAAGGTAGGTTTGATTTCAAATAGTCCTACTCTGATATTGTTGGCTTTTAATGACATTTTTGGCTTACCACACATTAATAACCACTATAAATAAATGGTGATTTATTAGCAAGCCAACATGTACGCAACATGCCCTAAGAACTTATTAAATCAAATACTTGTTTTCTGTTACTGGGTTTTTTTTATATTTTTTAAAAACATTTTAGTTGCTGTTCATTAATTTTGATCAGAGAATATAAATTTGTGTTGATTGACCTTAAACTAATGAACTAAACGGCGTGTATTTTCCCTAGTCATGCAGTAAATGTCTATTCATCAGTTATCTCACCCACTGTCTATAGGTTTCTCTGTAAACAGACGTAGCATGAACTCCGCCTCCTCGTGTGGGTAGAACGTGGATGGGATGATGACGTACGTCCCAGGCTTCAGCTCAAAACGTTTGGTGACCTCCCTGTAGTAAACATAAGCACCAGAGCGCTGTGTAAGCAGCAGGGCGTTTCTGGGGGCTCGTGAGTTGTCTAGTGGTCGTAGCTCCGCACTTTTCAACTGGGAATACAATATAAATTTACATAAATGTACAAAATAGATTATTAAATTAATATATGTTTCTTATGCACATTTTCAACAGTTGTTTTTAAAAACTGTTATCTTACAAATTGAAGAAATGAAATCTTACTTTGTATACATCGAAGCCAACTGCAATTTGTGATTTGTTTTTCTCCTTCTCCATGAGCGACACAATCAAAGTGCAGTCGTCCCCGTGCCCCAGGGTGGAGTCTACTTTTGACAGGGTCACATAAAACTGGGGGTTTTTCCAGTACAAGCCTACACAAGTCAATTACATAAGGAATCTTTTTTCATTGGTTAAAATATGTGACATTTCATAAACCACCATTTGCTTGGAGACTATAGAAATTTGTTTTAAAACTAAAGTAAATTATTCTATGCATATCTTAATATATGATAATTTATGATAAATCAACTTACTCTCATTAGGGGCATTCCCTGACCCTCCAGCTGTAATGCCCTTTATCCAGGCATCATGGTAGACTGTCACGTTCCAATCTTGTTTTTTCTGTTTTGTTTGGTACAGATCACATTTTAAATATCTAGTACTTTAGGTAGTCTATAAATCAAATATTAAAATCTAGTTGGTTGTGTATTAAAAATGTATTACTAAAATTTAGCCTCACTGCAAATCCATTTTTTTAGAAGACATATTTCAGATGGTAAACTCAAGGTTCAGATTAATGTGCTCAACAGAGAGTAATTTAATTTATGTAATTAATTAAACACTAAAGTAACATACTTTGTTGTCTGTCAACTCTTCAATTATTGCATCTATTTGAAGATGGCAGAGTTGGATTTCATCAAAGTTTGCAATAAAATCTTCGTAACTCATCCTAAAACAGTACATATTAAAATTTTCATAACTCATCCTAAGACATAGTACATCTTAAAATCTGTTTGATTGCTAATATAAAGTTCAAAGAAAGGTTTGACTTGTCTTATCTTAAGTAGTTATCATAAAAAATTTAAAATATTTTGTTAAAATTATTTTAGGCCTTTAATTACCAGAACTCTCCATCATCCCTAGAGACAAACAACAAATCATTTTGTAGTTCCTTGGTGAGATGTCTCATTTCTGGCGACCTGAGGAACAGAGACATTGGAGGGGTGAGGTACAGAGACACATTGGGGGGGGGGGGGTGAGGAACAGAGACACATTGGAGGGGTGAGGTACAGAGACACATTGGAGGGGTGAGGTACAGAGACACATTGGGGGGGGGGTGGGGGGGGTGAGGAACAGAGACACATTGGAGGGGTGAGGTACAGAGACACATTGGGGGGGTGAGGTACAGAGACACATTGGAGGGGTGAGGAACAGAGACACATTGGAGGGGTGAGGTACAGAGACACATTGGAGGGGTGAGGAACAGAGACACATTGGAGGGGAGAGGAACAGAGACACATTGGGGGGGTGAGGTACAGAGACACATTGGGGGAGGTGAGGAACAGAGACACATTGGAGGGGAGATGAACAGAGACACATTGGGGGGGTGAGGAACAGAGACACATTGGAGGGGTGAGGAACAGAGACACATTGGGGGTGGGGGGTGAGGAACAGAGACACATTAGAGGGGTGAGGAACAGAGACACATTGGAGGGGTGAGGTACAGAGACACATTGGGGGGGTGAGGAACAGAGACACATTGGAGGGGTGAGGAACAGAGACACATTGGGGGGGGGGGGGGGTGAGGAACAGAGACACATTGGGGGGGGGGGGTGAGGAACAGAGACACATTGGAGGGGTGAGGAACAGAGACACATTGGAGGGGGGGGGGGGGTGAGGAACAGAGACACATTGGAGGGGTGAGGAACAGAGACACATTGGGGGGGGGGGGGGTGAGGAACAGAGACACATTGGAGGGGTGAGGAACAGAGACACATTGGAGGGGTGAGGAACAGAGACACATTGGGGGTGGGGGTGAGGAACAGAGACACATTGGGGGGGGGGTGAGGAACAGAGACACATTGGGGGGGGGGGGTGAGGAACAGAGACACATTGGAGGGGTGAGGTACAGAGACACATTGGAGGGGGGGGTGAGGAACAGAGACACATTGGAGGGGTGAGGAACAGAGACACATTGGAGGGGTGAGGAACAGAGACACATTGGGGGTGGGGGGTGAGGAACAGAGACACATTGGGGGGGGGTGAGGAACAGAGACACATTGGAGGGGGGGGGTGAGGAACAGAGACACATTGGAGGGGTGAGGTACAGAGACACATTGGAGGGGGGGGGGGGGTGAGGAACAGAGACACATTGGAGGGGTGAGGAACAGAGACACATTGGGGGGGGTGAGGAACAGAGACACATTGGAGGGGTGAGGAACAGAGACACATTGGAGGGGGGGGGGTGAGGAACAGAGACACATTGGAGGGGTTAGGAACAGAGACACATTGGAGGGGTGAGGTACAGAGACACATTGGGGGGGGACAGAGACACATTGGAGGGGTGAGGTACAGAGACACATTGGAGGGGGGGGGGGTGAGGAACAGAGACACATGGGGGGGGGGTGAGGAACAGAGACACATTGGGGGGGGGTGAGGAACAGAGACACATTGGGGGGGGGGTGAGGAACAGAGACACATTGGAGGGGTGAGGAACAGAGACACATTGGGGGGGGGGGTGAGGAACAGAGACACATTGGGGGGGTGAGGTACAGAGACACATTGGGGGGGGGGGGGTGAGGAACAGAGACACATTGGGGGGGTGAGGAACAGAGACACATTGGAGGGGTGAGGTACAGAGACACATTGGAGGGGTGAGGTACAGAGACACATTGGGGGGGGGTGAGGAACAGAGACACATTGGAGGGGTGAGGTACAGAGACACATTGGAGGGGTGAGGTACAGAGACACATTGGAGGGGTGAGGAACAGACACATTGGGGGGGGGGGGTGAGGAACAGAGACACATTGGGGGGGGGGGTGAGGAACAGACACATTGGGGGGGGGTGAGGTACAGAGACACATTGGAGGGGGGGGGGTGAGGAACAGAGACACATTGGGGGGGGTGAGGAACAGAGACACATTGGAGGGGGGGGTGAGGAACAGAGACACATTGGAGGGGTGAGGTACAGAGACACATTGGAGGGGGGGGGGTGAGGAACAGAGACACATTGGAGGGGTGAGGAACAGAGACACATTGGGGGGGGTGAGGAACAGAGACACATTGGAGGGGTGAGGAACAGAGACACATTGGAGGGGGGGGGGTGAGGAACAGAGACACATTGGAGGGGTTAGGAACAGAGACACATTGGAGGGGTGAGGTACAGAGACACATTGGGGGGGGGACAGAGACACATTGGAGGGGTGAGGTACAGAGACACATTGGAGGGGGGGGGTGAGGAACAGAGACACATGGGAGGGGTGAGGAACAGAGACACATTGGAGGGGTGAGGAACAGAGACACATTGGGGGGGGGGGGTGAGGAACAGAGACACATTGGGGGGGTGAGGAACAGACACATAGCGGAGGGGGGAGAAACAGACACATTCAAAGTGTGAGCAACAGAGACACATTGGAGGGGGGTATAACAAAATTAATGGTGATACAAAATTAACAATGGTGAATTAGTTTTGGGTTTAAGATAATAAACTTCTTATTATAACTAAAACAAAACAGAAGGTACAAAAAAGCTTTTCATACCTGTCAGACCAAGGTCCTTTCCACTCGTCTCTACCCCAAGGATTTCTAAGACGCAGCAAGTTAACTGTACCACGACCAGTAGGAATCTTGAGGATATTCAGTGGATAATTATCATCAAATTTGAGAACATACAGTTGACAATTATTATCAAATATGATAATATTCAGTTAATAATTATCGTCAAATATGAGAATATTAATGAGAATATTCAGTTGATAATTATCAAATTTGCAATTATTCAGTTGATAATTATCACCAGAGGTAGTTTTTTTTTGTAAGTAAAAAATCAATACTTTGACATTTAAAATACAATTACCAAAAACTCTATGATGTAATGAAAACACATTAAATATAAACTCTATGATGTAATGAAAACACATTAAATATAAACTTTATGATATAATGAAAACACATTAAATATAAACTTTATGATGTAATGAAAGCTAACCTGTTTAAAACCTGTGATACTGTAGGCATGGCCCATGAAGAGACCATTATTTTTCTCTATTTCATTTGGAGCTGAGTTCTCAGGTTTCTGAGAGGAGGACGGTGGGGGGGGGGGGGGGGGGAGACATTTATTTTACTTGTAAGAAATTTTAAACAGCGTAAGTCACAATAGTGATGAAATATAAAATACTTAAATGCAACTCAGAAATGGAAATATAGAAACAGTATAGATACAAAAACAATTATGGAGATAAAATAAAACATGAGTTCTCTTACATAATTTAGCAACCAAAAATTTATCAAAGAAAACAAGTCTGTTTCATTTTATTATTCTCAATGCATTTAAAAGCTGATTATTATAAAGGTCTATTATAAAGGTCTTTATTTATTTTATTAATTTATAATTAATGTTTGCTTTAAAATCCTACCAGTAGCTTGTGATCTCTAAGAGAAAGTTATCTGCCCTTTTTTTTATTTATGCTCAGGAAAAAAATTAACCAGCAGTGACAAAAATATCCCCTCAATGGCTCGATTAACTATTGAATTTTTAAACTAGGTTTTAATGACTAACAATTACTAATTAGATTAAAAAATAAGATAATACTGTATTGTCATCAGAGATTAATGTTTTTGGAAAGTTAAAATAAAAATGCTGCATTAGAAGTGGGATAAGATTTGCCACAAATTATATAATTATAATTTTGGCCTCATTTAAATTTTCTAACAATCAAATCTCCAAATTCTTTTAACCTTTTTATAAATTAACTTACAAATGTACAAACCCAATTATATCTACAAATATACAGTACCTATCATACTTACAAATATACAGGCCCCCATCATAGACTTCATCTGGAATGATGTGTACAGCAAGTTGTAAAGTTCTGGAGAGATTTCTCTTTTCTTCTGGATGTCTATAACTTCAGAGATTCCTCCGGTCAGATCTACCATAGCGTCTTGCAGCTTTCCCCCATCCAGGTTTTCATAACTCCCCCGTAACCTGCACATTCGTTCAAATCTTATGCGACATTGACACAATACAATCTTTACTAAGTTATTATTTTTAAATAGTCTTCCAAAGAAAATTCTAAGTACATTTTTATTTATTAGTGAAATATTAGTGAATTGTATTTTATTAAATTATAAAATAATGATTTAATGTTTGACTTTGAAAGTTTATAATAAAAGACCTTACTTAGCATATGCCTTCTCCAGTAAACAAGGCCAAAACTCATCCTGCCTTTCAATGTTACTGCAGTAAATGAGGCGTGTGCCGTCAGTTGGAAGATAATCATCAATTATGACTTCAACCCATTTGCCATACCACCAGAAGTTAAATCGAAACATTCCTGAAAATAAAATGGTTTACACAATTTTTAATAACGTTTATAACAATATTTTACATGGTGTGATTTATAATAGGAAACACAATTCATAAGACAAATAAAAATATGTGAAAAAAGAAAGATCTAGTAGCCGAAGATTTTACCAGTGTAAATGTCAGGAGTGAAGCCTTGATCAGGGGGGACAACTTTAGCAAACTCTGCTGGGTGTGTGGCTGCTAATACGGCAGCTCCAGCGATAAACCAACAGTCACCTGTAGATGAAAATATGATGAAAATATGATGAAAATATGATGAAAATATGATGAGAATGTTATCTAAAGGTATATCAACAAGACCAACTGTGTATCTGACCTTTAAAATAGTATATTATTGTAAAAATATGGTAAACTTGCATAATCCCACCTTTTTATTTTGATGATTACAATAAAATCATAACTAGTCAAGTTAGTCTGTCTTTAGTTAGCAAAGGGGAACAACCAAAAAATTACCAAATACAAAGAACCCAAGCTTAAAACTAAAGAAGAGTGACAGACAAGGGGAAAGGGAAACAAACGAAATTTTTTCTCAGACTTGCAACATGTGGGTTGTTGTTCTTTAATGGCTGTCGTCAGACAGGCTTTGCTGCCCGTAATTTAAATTAAACTTTGTAAGTAGTAAGTTAAGTAAGTGTAGATTAGAGTGCCTCTAGGCTAGTGAAATCTAACATTCTAATCCAACAAATGTTTAAGTTACCTAATGCGCCTTGGTCGAGATCGTACTGATTAGCTCCCTCTGAAATAAACTCGGGATTTGGTGACATGTCCTGGAAAATATGGGATATGTTTTACTATGTGATGTATTTTATTGTGTTACATACTTTATTGTGGGACATGTTTTTTGTGTGATGTTTTATTGTGTGTGATGTTTTATTTTGTGTGATGCTTTATTTTGTGTGATGCTTTATTTTGTGTGATGTTTTATTGTGTGTGATGTTTTATTTTGTGTGATGCTTTATTTTGTGTGATGCTTTATTTTGTGTGATGTTTTATTGTGTGTGATGTTTTATTGTGTGTGATGCTTTATTTTGTGTGATGTTTTATTGTGTGTGATGCTTTATTTTGTGTGATGTTTTACCGTGTGATATGTCCAATTGTGTATTCGTGAAATGAAATATTGCACGCATACTTTTTTTAAAATGTGTTCTACAGTACAAAACCCGAAAATATCAACTTCAAGTGACTGTAACATGCCCTTACCCTGGGGCGTTTCCACACAATCTGGCCAATGTGCCGGGAGCCCGGGGGTATGCGGCCATTGTTGTACAAAGATTTGATGTTGGGGGGGAACTGGGGGTCGGCATACAGGGCGTTGGCGTTTATCAGTTCGTTTTTTAGTGAGACGAACTCCTGGGTAGGTCTTAGTCGGGTCGCCATTTTGTCTCGGACACCACGTGGACCTCTATACCGTCATCAAGTTTTTAACTGCTAGACTCGAGTAGACCTGTACTGCCTAGAAAAGAGAACAGAGAATCGTGTATTCAATTAATAAGCCTACTAATTTTAAAGTTAAAGGTTAAAGCTATAGTAAAAGTAACAAAGTAATTAGATTTTTACAATTAGTTTTCATAGAACTAATTCGTATAACGTGTAAACTTTTTTTTCCTAATTTACCAGACAAAGATTGTAGAAAGAAATGTATAGCATACAGGAGACATAACACAGCTGTGAATAAGTTTTCTAATACAATGCTAGGCCGGAGTTATGTTTCCCTGCCGGCGGGCACGTGTTCCATGCGCTCACGTGGAGGTGAGCTTTAAATGTCAACATTGAAATATTGTACTCACACTGGTCTACAGAAGTTAACACAACTTACACCACTACAGTCCGGCTAACTCACGGCTGCCGGCTTACACTAACATAAGGCTTCCGGCTTACACTAACACACGGCTGATCGTCTCACACTGAATGCCGGCTTACACTAACTCACGGCAGCCGGCTGACACTAACACACGTCTCCCACTGACTCACGACTAGCCTACCTGGGTACCTTTCAAATTTAAACAGGTGAGTCGCGGGACTTTGATGACGTCATCCGGTGCTACAGCTTAATTGGCTCAGAAATTAAAGTCCAATTTTTTTTAGCCAAGCCGAATCTTGCCACGTGACGTTACTAGTCACGTGCAGATCTCCGAATTTAGCCACGTCACCCCCAATTAAACTGTTGGGCTAAAATTAGCCGGTCTACGTTTGGAATCTCAGGGTCTAAATTAACCTGCGAGTGAAATTAGAGGAGAAAGTGTACGCACCTGAGACCACGTGACTTTGTTTTAACTCATTCGCGCCGGAAATTTATAAACAATCCCACAATCCCACACCAACATCCCTCCCCCCCCCCCCCCCCCATTTCTCATCAGGTGGTAAGCTGGTTGGATAGGCAACCCCACCCCCAAACAAGCTGTATATACCTCTCCCCTCAGACTTTCACTAGTGTCTCAAACTTTAACCTTTACCCTAGCCCTGTATCTGATATTTTAAATTGTTTTTGTAATTAGTCGACTTGAAGAAAAAAAAAACATTGATACAATGGAAGAAAGAAGGGAAGAAGTGGATGTTTTAATATTTTTTTTTTTTGTGGCCTAATCTCCGCTTTCTATTATTTAACATTGATAATGACATCATCAATAATCTACCTTTTCTTTTTTTTTGCTAACTTGTAACATAGGTATTTTTTTTTCTTTGTTATCGGACAACGGCAATTCCCTGAAATTTCGAGACACTTTTTTACATTGGTTGTAAATCTATCTTTAGCTACACGAGAGTCGTGTCACATTTGCGTTATCTGCCCCTGACTAACAGAGCTGTAGCGCAGCGCTCATTTTGTGTAGGGGAGTTAAGCCATGTTACTTAAGGTAAGGGAGAAAACTACGGTCTGGAAACTCTCAAACTTGACAGTCGGGTAATGGCTACAGGAACAAAAGCCAAGTTTACTATCGGGTCTCTAAGCTACCGTTGGAATGAATACTTTTTTCCCGATAACAGTAAACACCCCCCCCCCACACACACACACTATATTATTTTACTTAATAATTGCAACTTTTAGCAATAATTTTGAAGAAAGGCTGGATCATTAAAGACGTCGAATTTCTCCAATCACCCGGTCCCTAACAAAACCGGCGATTTTTATCTGATCGAATCTAAAAATAGAAATCACTTCACAAGCAAGGTTAGTGCTTAGCTACAGATCTCATGCGGGCACTGTCAAAATCTGATGACTGCGAAAATTTATTGTTTTTTACCAGTGTTTCTTCCAGACTTTTTTCTCCGGGGGGGGGGGGCATTAGAAATTTTCGGGGGGGGGGGGGGCGGTAGACTTTCTTCAAGGGTGATGCCTGGAAGAAACTCTGTTTTTTACTTCTCCCCCTCCCCACTTTTGAGAGTAATTAGAATTTCAATTTATTTTAATTGGAGAGTATCAGTTAATGGAATTGGCCTTATAACGAAATAATGCTCCTACTGCTAAATGTTTGTTAACTAAATTAATTGCGACAAAAAACATCTACCACAACCATTTGATCATAAAAATCTTTTAGTCTAGTTGGTTTACGTGTAGCCGTTTACATTAGGTGACGTCACAAAAACCAGTCCTACTACAGGTAACTAATAAAATAATTTGATCATAAAAATCTTTAAGTCTAGTTGGTTTATGTGTAGCCCTTTACATTAGGTAACTTCACAAAAACCAGTCGAACTACCGATAACGGATAAAATAATGCAATAAAAATAAACGCTTGTAAAATTCTAAAAAAAAAGTAAATATAGATCTTAAGTGTATTTGAACAATGCAATTGCACCAACATCAACAAAAAATGGACGACCCCCCCCCCCTCTCTCTCTCTCTCCCCCAGGCTAGTGACTGATACAAGTGAATTAAAAGACCACTGTAAAGAGAGTAGGGCAAACTATCTCGCTTAATATGGCTAAACCCAGTGTAGCGCGGAGAAGGGGGGCTGTAAGGAAATGTCTAATCTCCTTCACTCGAGCGAGAAATAATTTATGGCTGCAGCAATATTTGCACAGCCAGACAAGACACTTGGCTGTCTAGATATCAAATACAAGCCCATGTTTACATACATAATATGTAAAACAGACAAGACGTCATATTTTCTTTACTGGTAAGCTTATCAGAGCAGATGAAATACTAAAGCAATTTGAACTACAATAATGAATGACTTAACTATTTTTTTAAAAACCTGAAAAGTTGCGGATGTATATATATGTATGTCTAGTAATGATGTAATCTTGTCGCATGTTAACCTTACATTGCCATGTTAACATTACAATACAGTGAGGTGGACAGGTGTGGGGACATGTGTAGTGGACAGGTGTGGGGACAGGTGTCTGTCCATGTGGGGTGGAGTTGTGAACCAACATTGTTCGTTAAGTGTTCCTGACTTGTGTCATCATCGTGGTTTAAGTTCAATATTTGTCAGTTGTCTTACTGTGTACAGCATCTTATCAGTTGGATGTTTGGGTTGTCTCGCCTGAGTTTAACCGCGACTAGTGTAGATCTCAGAGAGTTTTGTCAATGGAATTAGGCCTACATGTAGTCGCTAGGCTAAATCAAGAGGCCTAAGGTAAAGAAAATTTTGTTTGCTTATGCGAACCTGTGGACTGATTAGGGTAAAATGAAATGAAGTTATATCAGCCTTTAGTACAATTAGAGCAATTTTACCCGCTTCCTATTAGAGCAATTTTACCCTCGTCCTATTAGAGCAATTTTACCCTCGTCCTATTAGAGCAATTTTACCCTCGTCCTATTAAGCAATTTTACCCTCGTCCTATTAGAGCAATTTTACCCTCGTCCTATTAGAGCAATTTTACCCTCGTCCTATTAGAGCAATTTTACCCACGTCCTATTAGAGCAATTTTACCCACGTCCTATTAGAGCCCTAACAGACAATCGATTTTTGGCGCATGCGCCCAACTAATATAATAACGGCTGGTTGTGAGGCACCGACCTAGCAGCTGTGTGTAGGGTACACAAGAAGAGGTGGAGGTGTGTGAGGTGGGGGTGTGAGGTGGGTGTGTGAGGTGGGGGTGTGAGGTGTGAGGTGTAGGGTGGGGGTGTGAGGTGTGAGGTGTGAGGTGGGGGTGTGAGGTGGGGGTGTGAGGTGTGAGGTGGGGGTGTGAGGTGTGAGGTGTGAGGTGGGGGTGTGAGGTGGGTGTGTGAGGTGGGGGTGTGAGGTGTGAGGTGGGGTGTGAGGTGTGAGGTGGGGGGTGTGAGGTGGGGGTGTGAGGTGGGGGTGTGAGGTGGGGGTGTGAGGTGGGGGTGTGAGGTGGGGGTGTGAGGTGGGGGTGTGAGGTGGGGGTGTGAGGTGGGGGTGTGAGGTGGGGGTGTGAGGTGGGGGTGTGAGGTGGGGGTGTGAGGTGGGGGTTTGAGGTGGGGGTGTGAGGTGGGGGTGTGAGGTGGGGGTGTGAGGTGGGGGTGTGAGGTGGGGGTGTGAGGTGGGGGTGTGAGGTGGGGTTGTAAGGTGGGGTTGTAAGGTGGGGTTGTAAGGTGGGGGTGTGAGGTGGGGGTGTGAGGTGGGGGTGTGAGGTAGAGGTGGGGCTGTGAGATGGGGGTGTGAGTTGTGAGGTGGGGGTGTGAGTTGTGAGGTGGGGGTGTGAGTTGTGAGGTGGGGGTGTGAGCTGTGAGGTGGGGGTGTGAGTTGTTGGTTGGGGGTGTGAGGTGGGGTGTGAGGTGGGGGTGTGAGTTGTGAGGTGGGGGTGTGAGTTGTGAGGTGGGGGTGTGAGGTGGAGGTGTGAGGTGGGGGTGTGAGGTGGAGGTGTGAGGTGGGGGTGTGAGTTGTGAGGTGGGGGTGTGAGGTGTGAGGTGGGGGTGTGAGGTGGGGGTGTGAGTTGTGAGGTGGGGCTATGAGGTGGAGTGTGAGGTGGGGGTGTGAGGTGGGGGTGTGAGGTGGGGGTGTGAGTTGTGAGGTGGGGCTATGAGGTGGAGTGTGAGGTGGGGGTGTGAGGTTGGGGTGTGAGGTGTGAGGTGGGGGTGTGAGGTGGGGGTGTGAGGTGAGGGTGTGAGGTGGGGTTGTAAGTTGGGGTTGTAAGGTGGGGTTGTAAGGTGGAGTGTGAGGTGGGGGTGTGAGTTGTGAGGTGGGGGTGTGAGGTGAGGGTGTGAGGTGGGGTTGTAAGTTGGGGTTGTAAGGTGGGGTTGTAAGGTGGGGTTGTGAGGTGGGGGTGTGAGGTGGAGGTGGGGCTGTGAGGTGGGGGTGTGAGTTGTGAGATGGGGTGTGAGTTGTGAGGTGGGGGTGTGAGTTGTTGGTTGGAGGTGTGAGGTGGGGTGTGAGGTGGGGGTGTGAGGTAGGGGTGTGAGGTGGTGGTGTGAGTTGTGAGGTGGAGGTGTGAGGTGGGGGTGTGAGGTGGGGGTGTGAGTTGTGAGGTGGGGTTGTAAGGTGGGAGTGTGAGTTGTGAGGTGGGGGTGGGGGTGTGAGGTGGGGGTGTGAGGTGGGGGTGTGAGAT